TGATAGATGATGATGATGATGATGATGATGATGATGATGATGATGATGATGATGATGATGATGATGATGATGATGATGATGATGATGATGATGATGATGATGATGATGATGATGATGATGATGATGATGATGATGATGATGATGATGATGATGATGATGATGATGATGATGATGATGATGATGATGATGATGATGATGATGATGATGATGATGATGATGATGATGATGATGATGATGATGATGATGATGATGATGATGATGATGATGATGATGATGATGATGATGATGATGATGATGATGATGATGATGATGATGATGATGATGATGATGATGATGATGATGATGATGATGATGATGATGATGATGATGATGATGATGATGATGATGATGATGATGATGATGATGATGATGATGATGATGATGATGATGATGATGATGATGATGATGATGATGATGATGATGATGATGATGATGATGATGATGATGATGATGATGATGATGATGATGTGATGATGATGATGATGATGATGATGATGATGATGATGATGATGATGATGATGATGATGATGATGATGATGATGATGATGATGATGATGATGATGATGATGATGATGATGATGATGATGATGATGATGATGATGATGATGATGATGATGATGATGATGATGATGATGATGATGATGATGATGATGATGATGATGATGATGATGATGATGATGATGATGATGATGATGATGATGATGATGATGATGATGATGATGATGATGATGATGATGATGATGATGATGATGATGATGATGATGATGATGATGATGATGATGATGATGATGATGATGATGATGATGATGATGATGATGATGATGATGATGATGATGATGATGATGATGATGATGATGATGATGATGATGATGATGATGATGATGATGATGATGATGATGATGATGATGATGATGATGATGATGATGATGATGATGATGATGATGATGATGATGATGATGATGATGATGATGATGATGATGATGATGATGATGATGATGATGATGATGATGATGATGATGATGATGATGATGATGATGATGATGATGATGATGATGATGATGATGATGATGATGATGATGATGATGATGATGATGATGATGATGATGATGATGATGATGATGATGATGATGATGATGATGATGATGATGATGATGATGATGATGATGATGATGATGATGATGATGATGATGATGATGATGATGATGATGATGATGATGATGATGATGATGATGATGATGATGATGATGATGATGATGATGATGATGATGATGATGATGATGATGATGATGATGATGATGATGATGATGATGATGATGATGATGATGATGATGATGATGATGATGATGATGATGATGATGATGATGATGATGATGATGATGATGATGATGATGATGATGATGATGATGATGATGATGATGATGATGATGATGATGATGATGATGATGATGATGATGATGATGATGATGATGATGATGATGATGATGATGATGATGATGATGATGATGATGATGATGATGATGATGATGATGATGATGATGATGATGATGATGATGATGATGATGATGATGATGATGATGATGATGATGATGATGATGATGATGATGATGATGATGATGATGATGATGATGATGATGATGATGATGATGATGATGATGATGATGATGATGATGATGATGATGATGATGATGATGATGATGATGATGATGATGATGATGATGATGATGATGATGATGATGATGATGATGATGATGATGATGATGATGATGATGATGATGATGATGATGATGATGATGATGATGATGATGATGATGATGATGATGATGATGATGATGATGATGATGATGATGATGATGATGATGATGATGATGATGATGATGATGATGATGATGATGATGATGATGATGATGATGATGATGATGATGATGATGATGATGATGATGATGATGATGATGATGATGATGATGATGATGATGATGATGATGATGATGATGATGATGATGATGATGATGATGATGATGATGATGATGATGATGATGATGATGATGATGATGATGATGATGATGATGATGATGATGATGATGATGATGATGATGATGATGATGATGATGATGATGATGATGATGATGATGATGATGATGATGATGATGATGATGATGATGATGATGATGATGATGATGATGATGATGATGATGATGATGATGATGATGATGATGATGAGAACTGAGAACTGAGAACTGGTGCGAAGCAGCGAGTAGAGGTTGCTCTGTGTAGCTGCATCATTCGTCGTTTTCGGACATGAACTTTTTATTTATCGTTTCGCTCTTTGTACTTTGCCTCTGCAAATTGTTTGTCTAGTAGCATCTTGAATTTAGCCACTGTGTTCGCTTCTACTATATGCTGAGGCAGGTCGTTCCAGACATTCACCACTCTTCGTTCGAAACAGAGTTGATGGGCGACCCGCTTCAAATCCGGGACGATAAGTTTATACCGGTGTCCTCGCGTGCAGCTTGGTGTGCGCAGATGAAGTAGTTGTCTCAACATGGGGTAATCACCCAGATGTAATATTCGGTGCGTCATGATGAGGTCAACCCTCAGCCGACGATAAGATAGGGTGTATAACCCTAGTTTCTTACATCGGTCTTCGTATGGCATACCTCGTAAGTTGGGAATCAGCCTAGTGGCTACATGCTGCACCCGCTCAAGCTTTTCTACTTCGCCCCGGGTGATGGGACAGTATGCGGGAGTGCCGTACTCTAGCATTGGTCGTATTATCGAGACGAAGAGGCGAGTGGCAATCTCTTCGGACCAAGTGCTAAAGCTGCGCCTGAGAGCCCAAAGCATACGAAGGCTGTTTTGGTACAGCCTATTCGTGTTGTCAATGGACTTTAGGTCGCAGCGTGAGAGTACACCGAGGTCGCGCACGAAAGGAGCGGGATGTAACGGTTGTCCAGCCACTGTGTACGTTCGGCCGTGATCACACTTACCCAACCTCATGAATTGCGACTTGGCAGGGTTGATCGGAAGGTTAACCTCTGCAGACCATGTTGAGAGGCGGTCGAGATCCTGCTGAAGTAAATCGCAATCATTGAGTGTGCGGATTACTCTCCACACTTTCAAGTCATCTGCGAACAAAGCACAATGTGATTGTAGTAGCTGAGGCACATCGTTTATATGGATTAGAAACAATATCGGGCCCAGTACAGTGCCTTGGGGCACGCCGCTGCTCGATGGATACCAGTCTGTTAGATGGTTGTCCACCTGGACTCTCCACTTCCGATCAATAAGGAAATTGCTGATCCATTTGTGCAGCGAACCACCAACACCGCACATCCTCAGTCTGTCAAGGAGCACTGCATGGTTAACCTTGTCAAAAGCCTTACTGAAGTCAATGTAAATGACGTCAACCGATTGGCCTTTGTTCAGTGCTTGTAACCATTCGTGCCTCGTCAACAGTAGGTTGGTGATGCACGAACGACCTTTCAGGAAACCATGCTGTGCGGAGGTTAACAGGTTTTTCGACTCGAGAAGTTGCAGAAGGCTCTTCTTCACGATCTTCTCGAGCGTCTTTGCCAAAACTGCCGTCAGGCAGATCGGCCGGTAGTTATCCACTTTGCTTGGGTTACCACCTTTCGGGATAGGCTTTACGACTGAGCATTTCCAGTCGTCCGGTAGTAGACCAGTGGATAGTGACCTGTTAAACAGTTCAGTTACAGAAGGTGCAATTATGGTCGATAATGACTTGAGGATTAGTGGGTGTATACCATCTGGCCCAGCAGGTTTCGTCCCGTCAAGATTTGCTAGAATCTTGCGTACATCCTCAATATTGCAGTCCAGGCTGTTAAGTTCGGCTGGAGCGGTGCTCGTCGAACTCATTACAGACACCTGGTCACTTGCGAATACGGAGGCGAAGTGCGTTGCCAATGCTGACGCACGATCAGTACTCGAGGTTAGAGGCTGTCCTTCTGAGCCTTCTAACACTGGAATACTAGCTATAGGTCTTAGGCGCCGCTTCACATATGCGAAGATCCTCTTGGGAGCAGTTTTTGCGGCAGTTGCAAGCTCCTCTTCGAAGCTTCTGCGTTTTCTTGTTTTCGCGTTGTTGCAGCGATTTCGTTGTACCTTGTAGGCACTGTAGTCCTCATCAGAGCCAGATAACACGAATTTGTTCCATAGTCTACGTCGCCGTCGGGCCATTTTGTTGTACTCTTTGTCAAACCAATGTGGTTTGACTGGCCCAACTTTCCGAAATTTGAGGGGCACAAATCGGGCGCACAACGATTTCACTCCCTCTTTAATGATAGCCCAACAGGTTTCAATAGATGAATCCTGTGGTAAAGACCAGTCTATCTGGCTCGCTGCTCGAATGAGGCCATTAAAGTCCGCCTTCCAATAGTTGAAGGCTGACTCTAGTGGGAGAGGATACGGTAGCGGTAGTTCTAAACTGCCTATGATCACTGAGTGGTCACTCGCTCCCAGAGGCTCTAAGACTTGAATGTTATGTACACGCTGCTCACAGCTAGTCAACAGCAGGTCTAAGCATGATGGAGTTGCGCGCGCAGTAATGCGTGTCGGTTGGTTGATGTGCTGTGTGGCCCCAGTTTCAAATAGCAACTCCGTAAACTTCCTCTCGACTTCACAGTGGCCGGGGAGAAGTTCAGCTTCAGGCCACTGTATTCGGGGCAAGTTGAAATCGCCCATGAGTAGGAACATCGGACGACTCATGTGGTTGCGGACATGCGGCAACCAGTCCAAACTGCGGCTCAGTGGGCTGCGATATACCACGCCCACGTGCAACTCGCAGCGTCTGAGGTGTATCGAACACCATAACTGCTCACATAGACCATCAGCGCTTTGATAGGCGCTCACTAGTCTCCCACACAAGGAAGACTTTATGTAAAGTAGAACGCCACCGCGATCATTTGATGGTCTATCACAGCGGAAGCATGAGTAGCCGGTGATTT